TGTATTCTTTTCCCTTCAGCATCCAAGTCTCCCCTTCCATGGGACAGGATCTGATCCATGCGCTCTGGGATGAAAAGTCCTGCATACTGGGTGGAAAAAAAATCCTAGGAGGAAAAGCTGGCACTCAGGGGGTGCCAGCTCCAAATGCCACACCCAGGGCAAGGTCCCCCAACCACCATAGTGGTGGCAGAAGGATGGTGACTAGGTGCGGCCCCTCTGGCCACAATCCTAGAACGCCTGCCGCTTTTGAAATCTCTGGAGCCGGCCCGTCCGAGCCTGGTCCTTCCCCAGCCCATTCACCATCCCTGGTCAAAGTCTGAGTGGGACGGGGTCACTGGCTCCTTCTCCCCCTGGTGCAGGACATTCGGGGGTGATACAAAAGGCTCAGACAGCTGCAGAGATAGGGAGGGGCGTGTGTTCTGGGCTGCCCCGTTACCTTGGTCAGCAGAGGCTGGTCTGCCCAGGATCTGCAGACGACTGTGCAGATCCGGATCGCCAGGTTGGGCCTCGGAGATGTGCTGCCTGGGAGGGGCGAGGGGTGAGAGGTGGGAGGGGAAGGGAAGGGGGCAGGAAGGGGGTTAGAGGACAGATGGAGGGAAGATAAGAGAGGGTAAAAGAAGAGAGAGGGGGAGATGGGGGGGGGAGGGGAAGGAAAGGGATGGAAGGGACAGAAGAGAAAAGAGTGAAAAGCAGAGGAGTGGAGGAACGGAGGAGGCGGGGGGTGGCAGGAGATGGAGAGAAGCAGCGAGGGGGGCAGAGAAAGAAATGGTGTCGGGTTTCATGCAAACTCGCCGCACAGGGCGGCCTCCTCTGCCTCGTGGGATCCAAAGTTTCAAAGACGGCAGCTGCCCCCGCTTCTCCAAAGGATACTGGGATTCCAACATGGCAGCCACCCCTCTTCGTCCCACGGTTTTTAAGGGTCCAAAACGGAAGCCACCCCCTGCCCTGGAGGATTCGGGGATTGCAATATAGCAGGCAAACCTCTCCCAAGCCACCTCCCAAGCCACCAGCAACTTGCAAGCCAGTTCTCCCCGTCCACAGTCCACCCCCAAGGGGTGCCAGCTCCAAATGCCACACTCAGGGCAGGGTCCCCCAGCCACCACGGTGGCAGCATGGGGGTGGACTAGGCATGAGCCCCTCTGGTCACAGAAGCAGGGGGCAGCTCTGGTGTCTCTTACACAAGGAGCTGTTGTCAGGGCTGCTGAACTGGGTGAAGCGGGCGGTAGGAATGAAGGCCTCCACTAAGGCGCTCTCCTCCTCCTCCAGGGTCTCCAGGAGCGCCAGCACAGCCTGCAGCACGGCAGCCTGCTCCACTTTGACATGGAAGCTCACCGTGTGCGCCCCGCTCCAGCGCCAGCCCGACGGCTTCACCACTACCTGCAGGGGGAACAAAGGCACTCAGCAAAAAGGCCAGGGCTGTACTCCCCTCCCTGACCCTCTCTTCCTGGATGGGGTCCGCTCGTGCTGTTCCCTGGCACCCTCTGGGCTGGCTCTGGGGCTGCCCCCCC